GGGGGGGGGGAAGAGAAGGAAGGAAGGACAAGTGAAATACAGAAGGGAGTGCTGGATATCGAAAGTGTCATTGACGGCCCAAAGCAAGAACCACAACAGCCGCGGCTATCAGTACCACACAAGGGGAGGACTTATAAATAATTTGTAGGGGAGTAATACTGGTACGGCACTGTGGGTTGTGCACAAGTTAGTTAGAGTGTGTGTGTTTTTTGTGTGTGTGCATTCGTAAGAAACAAACAAAAAAGAGATATTTCTAAACAAGAAAAAAATTTTATAGCATTCCTGATGTTTTCAAAGTACCTACGGATACACAGGCGTTCAAAGACAATTAGTACAGCGGAGGTTCCAGCACAGGAAGCCCCATTGGTGTCGCTGACTCCACCCACACTGTCGCCCAGTGAGGGGACAAAGAGACCAGCGGCTGTTGATGGCGTAGCGGCGCTGAGTAGTGGAGTTCAGTGTAATAAGGATAGTGGCAATGCCGGAAGAGGTGCTTCAACGGCACCAGCAGATCTGTGCGAGTTGGATGTTTACGAGCAGCACCATCACGGTAGTAGTGGTGATGGACGCAGCAAGGACGATGATGACTTCGTCCTGGAGGAGGAGCAGAGACGGCCCGTCAATACCGCCCGGCTGTTGTGCAGTGGCGCATTGCCGTCCGCCGATCACAACGACGACGACGACGACAATGATGAGAGGTACGCGTCTCTTCGGCCAGCGGGGGCGGTTGGCCCCATGGCAAGTANATCACAACGACGACGACGACGACAATGATGAGAGGTACGCGTCTCTTCGGCCAGCGGGGGCGGTTGGCCCCATGGCAAGTAACGCACCTGTTCGGATCGCTACTCCTGCCGTTAAGGTGCGCGAGGCGCCGTTCTCGTTACACTCTGAAGGTCCGCAGCGGATGTGCAGCATGACACGGCCTGTAGCGCGTACGCAACCAGTAATGGCAGTTCGATCGAGCCCGTGGGCTGTGCTTGACGTTGAGCCGGATGACTTGGAGGTAGCTGGGAGCACACTTGATGAACCCATGACACCACAGAGCTTTTCTTCCATGGTGCTCCACAACGAACTTAAAAAGTTGAATCGGACGACTGCCAGTGGCAGCAGCAATAACAACAAAATTGACTCTGGCGTAAACCCAATGCTTTCGTGGCGTGACCAAAAGGGCAGTGGCGTCCTTCCGTCGTTTTCGAACAGCATCCAGTGTTCAAGTAGTTCATCTAGCCATCAATTCAGTACCTGCCGCCGAAGTGAGCCGTTGACAACAGATGCTAGTTTCCACTTGAGCGACAACAGGCGTCCACCGTTGCCATTCGCCGCGCATGGCTACACTGAGTACACGCGTGATGTTGCCGCACTGCCGCCCACGTCGCTGTGCGTCACGTCTCATTCGCACGATACAGACAACAGTCCCGCGTCCCCCCCGGCGCGCTCAGCATATGATGGAAGTGCAATGTGCTTTCAGCAGCGTGACTCGTCACGCTTGTGGCCAGTTGGTTGCTTTCCGCCTGTGCCAAAGGAACTGCACAACGTGAACGTCGGTCGCTCCCGCTCTCAGTCATGGAAATCGAGTGTGTTAGAATCCTCCTCCGCTGAAAAGCAAGCTATGGGCAACCATCAGAAGCTGTTGAACGACAAATACGTCATCTACTCCAAGTGGAACCTCGGCGTTGGCTCTTACTCAAAGGTGGTGCTCTGCTACAACCTGGAAGACAAGGTGTACTATGCAATGAAGGTGCTTGACCGCGTAAAACTGCAGCGCAAAGGCCTTGGTGTTGACTGCGCGTTGCACAAGGTGCAGTGCGAGATCGCCATCATGAAGCGACTTCGCCACCGCAACATCGTGGAGTTAGTAGAGGTCATTGACGACCCACGCAGTCGAAAGATCTATCTTGTGCTGGAACTCGCAGAGCATGGTGAAATAATGTCAATGCGGGACGACGGCACGGTAATTCCCACCGACGACAACACGGCGTTGCCTGAGCGCGAAGTAGTGCGAGTGATTCGCAGCATCGTAAGTGCAGCAATGTATGCCCACCGACTCGGTATTGCCCACCGCGATATCAAGCCCCAGAACATTCTGCTGACCGCGGAGGGGGATGTTAAGCTCTCCGACTTTGGTGTGTCCATTATTGTGGACGACTCCTCTGTACGGGTGAGACGCGAAGGCAGCGTGGCGTTCCTACCACCGGAGATGCTGGCTTACCCCGAAGTCAATGCAGTACCGCCCACACTGTGTCACTCCAACGAAAACAGTAGCAGCACTGCAAGCAGTGCCAAGTGCGACTCCACCTCGTTTGCGCCAACATCGGCGAGGTGCACGACGAGTAGTACCAATCCGGCAAATGTACCAAGGAAAGGTACACAGATAGTTGCGAGTGAAAGTGATACAGCAGAGACAGCAACCGAAAGAACTCGTCCTGCGTTTGACAATGCGCCGGATACGTCGACATATGCACAGGCGTTGTCAAAAGACATGGCATCGCCAAGTGGTGTGTCTGTTGCACCACAAGTGGATCTCTTCAAGGCTGACGTTTTCTCCCTAGGTGTCACAGCATTTGTGCTCCTTATGGGGCATCTGCCGTGGCGCGCTCATGACGCTTACTCACATTTGAATGCCATCCTCACGGACCCAGATCCATTTGAGTCTGAGTTTCGAAAGCTCTATGGGTGTATTCCAGGCGATTCTCATGAGATGAAGAGTAAACAGAAACGACAAGGAAAACAACCGAGACAACAGGATCGCACGAGTGAGGACGAGCCATTGACTGAACTCTGTGGCTGTGCTCTATCTCTCAGTGCGATGACGGTGGGTGATGAAGAAAAGTCGGCTGTTAGTACTCTTCCAAACGGTGTGACGGTATCGGGCTATAATGAGTCCCTGAGTGCACGAATGAATGATTTCGCTGAGACAGGGAGAGAGAACCTCTCGTGGCGCAAATCATTTACATCCTCTGCACTGGAGGAATGTACAGTTCAAACCGGGCAGAGTGAGTCACAAGTTGGTGGTGCCAGCAGCAATGAAGGAGATTTCGAAAATGGCAATCCTATGAGGGGTGCTTTGTATTTGAAGAATGCATGGCGCACCCCCGACACGACAGGCTTTACGTGGGGAGCTGACGACTCACACGCTCGTAACAGCCAAGCCAACGTCAGTAACAGCATCACTACCACCACCGTGGGTTCTACGCTGAGAGAAAAGACATCAACGCCATTTGAAGAACCGGCTTCCCGGTCGGTGGTGCGGAACAACAGTACCACAGTAGCGCCTGTGTCGCTCAGAAACACCTCGCGAAAGCAGCATTCCTCTAGCGGACGGTTTGAGTCCACACACACAAACAGCGCATGCTCGTCATTTAGTCCGAATTTTCCGCTGGCCCTCCAGCAACGAGGGTGCGTGGTGGCGCACGTAGAAAACCGTGAAGATGGAATGACCTTGAGGGATCCTCCCTTATCAGTGAAAGAGCTGTCACAGACACCACATGCGGAGTCCAAGGCGTGTGTGGGGGCACATGCTAGTTCGGAGGGGCCGCTTGGTAAGGGTAAGGCGCCGTATTCCGTTCTTTATGAAGCTACTGATGAGACGAATCGTGGTGCTATCATGTCAGGTAATCAAGAGGGGGAAATACCAGCTGCTACACAGTATCCGAGGAACATGGAGGGGTGGCCACGCTCCCTTCCTGCAACAAAAGTAAACGGTTCTATCTCGGCAGACGCGATTGACTTCATACGGTGCTGTCTGAAGGTGGACCCCGCGGAGCGCAGCACTATGAGACAGCTCTACAAGCATCCGTGGATACAGAAATTGATTGCTAGTGAAAGAAGGGCAGGTGGGTCATCACTTTCCCCCGGTGCTGTTGTTCTTTTGGACGATTCTTACAGTGGTGCCAGCAGTGGAGCATGTGGAGACGGACGTCTATCGAGTACAACCGCGGAAAACGTGCGATCAGCAGAGCACGACGGTGGTGGGGAGAAACTGGCGCCTATGGTCAGTAACGCCGTCAGCGATAATGACAACGACGCTGATGGCGTCTGTTGCCCCTTGTTACCCTCGAGGGCTGTGACTGCCAACGACGTTCGAGTCTCGGCCTCATCGAGTACGCACTCGATGGTGGATCTGTTGCGCTCGCCTGAACTGCAGCATGCCGTGGAGGGATGTGGTACCGGTTTGCAAGGTGTATCAGGACGTGGTGCGGGCTTGGCTGCCATGTCGACTGGCACACTTACCATTTCTGCTCTCACGTCTCCGAGAAACGACGCATTTGAGCGTAACAAGACGGAGAGCACCATGTTCCGCAACAACAGTGATAACACACTTTCCCCGGAGAGTTGCCGTATTACAAGTGAAGTCAAGTCACACCACGTCGAGGTAGCCCTTGCCCCTCCCTCTCGGGATTTGTCGCAAGGAGTCGAAGGTCTCAACGACGCGGTAACGCACGCAATAAACCGCCCGCGCGTGCTGAGTGACAGTGAAGAGATTGCTGTTCCACTCGGCCTCGCCCTAAGGTTGCGTGAGCGGCGGTCGGCGCGCCTTCAGCCCTTTCGCCGACCTCACTTTGATGAAGACTCGTCGTTCCGCTACAGCAGGGACGATAGCTGCATGAAGACGCCACGTTTTCTGGGTAATGCGCAGACTGTCTCTTCAAAAACACAGAGTAGCCTGGAGGAGCCGGCGGGACGCAGCTTCTCAGTACTGCTCGACGTCGAGGAGGACAGCGTTGTGGGGACTATGCAGACCACCGCTGCTAGCATCAGTGGGAAGGAAAGATCAATGGGCAGCATGCTCGTTGACCGGGTGCCTCCCCTCCTTTCATCTCCGGCATCCGCGTTGGCAACATGCCGGAGACCAGATGATCAAAAGCAGCTGCCGCAGTCGCTGCATGAACGCTCTTTTTCATGTCCTGAATATTACTGATTATAAGTGTAAGTAGGAGAGAAGAAGATTGGTGTAGCGAAAAGTGGAATAGGAGGGGAAAGGGGGGTACAGGGAAGTCCGACTTCAGAGAAGATTGTACAGACTGTAATGATATATGAAGTGAATAAAGAGTCGAATGAGGGGTTGGAAGAAGAAGGGGGGAAGGGGTGGAGTAGTGAAAACAGCGTGAGAGTGAAAAGAGAAGGACATTCATAGCTGTTTTTTTTTTTTTTTCGTTATCAGCAAATATTTCATCAAAATAACTAAAAGCAACGCACTTCGACCGAAGTTCCTCTTTGTATCATTCCTTTTGATTGGGTTTGCCCTAAAACAAGCTTGTCTCGCTTCTTCTTGCGTGGTCGTTCGTCGCTGCGACTACCAGCAAAAGGTTTGTGTGGGATTTGAAAGATTACATTGTACCCCCCACAGAGGGATGATGTTAATGAGCATAGAAAAAACGAACAATTTTATTTTGATATCTGTCCTTTTTGCTCCTTTTGATGGGTCGAGAAGACAGCAATTATGGATCGCGGTTTGTGAGGAAAGGTGAAACAAAGAAATAGCCGTGGCAGCAGCAGCAACAATACCAAGCGACAGGAGCAAGTGAGCTTTGATGGGTTAATACAAGATATATGTGTGTGTGTATGTGTGTGTCATTATCTCTCTGTGTGTCTCTAGAAACGACATCACCGACACCGACGAGGAGGGAAATAGGCCGAATGGTGAATTACCAGAGTTGTTGCTGGTGAAAGGAGGTCATGTTTACTTTTCTTTTTTACTACCTCCTACTCTCTTCGCTGATTGATGTACTGCCCGAGATTTCGTTTTCCTTTCCACTGTGATTTCTGGCGGCGTTGCTGATCTTGTGCATTTCGTAGTTTTTTTCCTCTTTCCCTCTCTTTGTATGTGTATGCGTGCTTGTGTATGTATGTGTGTATGAATGGGCCCCGCTCCTCCTGGTATCTGCTTCTGCACAAACACAGACACAAACACACAGACGCCTATACGTATTTATATATATATATTATATTATATTATATTATATTATATATATACATACATATAAGCAAAATATAATAGGTAAATAATTGGTGTAGGGATGCAGGAGTTACAGAATGTGATGTGGCCATCTACTCTTCTATATTTGCTTCATTGGAAGTGAGCAGTGATTTTGTTACCTCTCGGAAACAAAAGAAAAGGGTAGGCCACAGGTGAGTGTATGTCTGTGTAGTGTGAATCTTCATACATGACGCGAGATCGCCTTTTTTTTCTTCTTGTCTGTATGTTTTTCCTACGCGTGAATC